CCCACGCTTCCCCCAGAGAATGCCCTGCCGTGGGGCACTTCCTGGCCTGGGGCCGGTCAGACGTTGCAGTTGGACGCTCTTCCTGGGCCACCTTGACTGAAAAGCCCTTAATTACGCTTGTAGTACTTCCTGCCTGAAAGCACTTCCCTCCGAGGCACTAAGGGGCACCAGGGGAGGGAGATGTCACCGGTCTCCTGTCCCTCTGCCCTCTCCCCTATGGTCTTATTTGCACAACTATTATTCATATATTTTAGGGTTTTGCCTCTTTTTTACCCCTCACAGTTATTTTGAATTCTCTCCTTAATAATCAAGTCGCTCCGCGTCCAGGGTGCTGAGAGGCCAGCGGCTCCCGGCTCTCCCTCGCCGCCCCGTCTGCTCCCCTCAGGCACCCACTCTCAGACCTTTTAGCCTTTTCTTTTGCTGTTTTCCTCCATGATTTTAAGTAAAACCCCCCTCTTGTCTCACCCTGTAAAACCTACAGTTTGGGCTTTTCATTGTGCTGTGGGTGCCCTGTCCCCACCCCAGCCGGTGCCCGTTCCCTTAGGCACCGCGAGGCTGATCGTTTCCACTGTGAACATCCTCGTGAACATGTAAGTGCTGGTTTCTGCTGAGCTGAGGGAGTAATGACCAGCACAGTGCTTTTCTGGTTCAAACATTCGTTTCTTCCCGAGTTAGAAGCTGTTTATTTTTCCCCTTCTCTCCGTGGCATCGGTGGCTGAATCCTCACGGATTCCTCAGCACCCTCTCGGTGGTCCCTGCCACGTGGCTCCTCAGGGCATGCATCCTCCTGTCTCCACCTCGGCCAGGCACTACACACGTTATGCACGTTCCCGAACCTTCCCTCCACATCAGCCTGAGGAGTCCCTTCTCTGCGAGCCCATGCCTTCTCCTTTTCTACTTTCTTGGCTTTACTCCGCCTGTGAAAACTTCCCATGATCAGTGCGTGGGGAGTGCACTGCACTGGGACGCAGCAAACCTAGAAGTGACTTTGCTGGGGTCCCGTCCTTGACCTGCTGGTGGCGTCCGTGTGCGGGGCCAGGTCGGGAGGGCCCTGCGGGCACCATGTGTCCCTGTTTTGCTTTGAGAAGGTCGGCGTGGGCTCCGTTGTCCGGTTTTCTGTGTTTTCTCCTCTCTCGCACGCTTCCCTCTCCTCTGAGTTTCAGGCGCGGGTCTTTCTCGTTGGCCGTGCTGAGCACGACCTCGTGCCTCGTGCCCTTGAGTCTGGGAGTCTCCTGAGCTCCCTGTGACAGCCCTGCCCCCCTCCCCGGCCTGCATCGCCTCCCTTCCCAGGGCCCTATGAACGGGTGCTGGGCCTTCTAAACCGAGTCTTGGTTTTTGTGTATTTTTGTATTTATTTTCCCATTGTCTACTTTCTGAGAAATTTCCTTTTATCTTCCAACCCATCTATTACGTTTTAAATTTTAAGTGTAGTTTTAATTTCTAAGACTCTTCTTTGTCTTCTGTGCCTTTTGTTTTTTTGGAAGTAGCGCCCTGTTTTGGGTTCATGGACAACTGCCGTTTTCTGTGGCTTCTGCACTCCACTGTTCCCTCTGCATCACACTGTTCACTCCCTCCAGTGTTTGCTTTTTGTGTTGGAGGCTTTCAAGTTGGGGACAGCCGGCTGTCCTTCCAAATGTAAGCACGAGCTACTGGAAAGCTGCTTGGTGCTTGTCGGGCGCTGGGCTGTGGCCAGCTGGCTCTTCTGCTGACTGACCATCAAGTTCAGCCAGCCCTCGGCCTTTTCTTACTTCACTTTCTCCCGAGAAGGACTGATTTCTTGCTTGGGGCAGGAGCAGGGTTGCAGGGGCAGAAGTGGGTGGTCTCCCGCTGTATGCAGATTTTCCCCACCCCCCTTCCTAGCCTTGCCCCCTCCCACTCTCCAGCTGGGCTCAGTCTGCAGCCCCTGGTCTGTTTCTCTGGGGAAGAAACCCCGAGTGTCTGCAGGGCTGCGGGCGCCTAGACCGGTCATCTGCAGAGAGTGATGGGGGTGCACTGGGGGTCCCACGACTTCTTGAATGGATTTTCACCCCATTTCCTAGGTTTTTAAATCCCCTACCACCACATGCAGGCCCAGGCTTTGCGGGAGAGCCTTGGGGGCAGGTGGCCTGTCCCCTCCCAGGCCCTCTGGGCAGCGTCTGTGACGCTGAGTCCTGCAGCTGGCGGTCAGGTCCATGTTCATGAGCCCACATGGGCTTTAACCCTGCACAGAAAAAGCAGCTGAAACTGATGCACGTGGCAGATTCCACAAGGAAGGTCATGTGTTAAGTTGAGGCAGATACAGCAGACAAGCTCCATTTTGGCCCTAGTGCTTTGGAACTAGTTTAAAAGTTCATTTTCCATTCCTTTTCCTGTGCACACGAATGTGAGCATATAGGCAGCGCTTAATACCGTTTGCTTTCAGTCCTTTATCAAACAAACACATAGATTCCAAAAAAGTTATGCCCCTATCTTGAGTTTTTAGAAATTTTAGATACAGTTAGTGGTCTTAATGTCTCTTTTAAGTCATGAATTCTGTCTGTTTAGTGTTGGTGTTCAGGCTCTTAACGAATTATTCAAAATGATGGAAACTCAGAGGAAGTACAAATAATAATAGTGAAAACCTCTCCAAAATAAACCGCCACATCCTGTAAACTGTTTATGACTATTACATGGACACTGACCTACGGAAGTTGATGCTGGTGTGTTTATAAAGTTAGGTTCCTGTGTAAGCTCTCAGTTAAAGCACGAATGACAGCAGAGAGGCCCCCACTGCCTCTGTGCCGAGGCCCGAGCGAGGGGCCCTGCTTGTCCTCTGCTCTGCGCAGTGACCGCCGGGGGCACCGACTCCGCAGCGTGTTGGGAGCGAGACGCTGGGCTGGGCAGGCCTGGCGGGCATCAGCTCTCTTCTCCCACATGTGGTCAGGACACTCATCTAGAAGAGGTCATGCACATGTCCTTCCCTCCTGAAATGGAACGAGCAGAACGCGTCTGGTGCGCTCCCCAGGGTGAGGGGAGCTGCTGGGCCGTCCGGGCAGAGCTGCTGGCTTGGCCCCTCTGCGCTGGGACCCCTCTCTCTGCCCTTTGTGTGTTTCTGGTTCTTTCCCATCTGTCCCACCGCGTGGCTCCTCTAGCCAGTGCACTTTCTGCGTCCCTGTCCACCCTCCTTGGTTGCTGGAAATCTCTTTTAGGCCAGGAAGCGGGCTGGTATCACGTCTGCTGGTGGAGGAGGGACAATGAGAACAGGTGTGAATGAGGGCACCTAGGACCCCCGTCTCCTGGGGTGACCCAGAGGCCTCCTCAGTGTCTGTCCTTGCGGCCTCGCCACACGAGGTGTAAGTAGTTATAATCAGAGGGAACTATGTCCTCAAAAAACTCGCCTGTCCAGGCCTCCAGTGTACAAGCCATGACGGGGACTAAATCATTCACCCGTGCGACCCCAGCTGACTCTCCACCTGCAGTCGTAAGCTACTTGGGTATGTCCTAATCTTCTGTGCTTTCTAACATTATTTTCCAATTGTTTAAAAGCTTCAGTTACAGTTAAACCAAGATCTAAGCATCTTGCATCAAGATGATGGCTCATCTAAGAACAAAAGGGGAGTCCTGCCGAAGCACGCCACAAACGTGATGCGGTCTTGGCTGTTCCAGCACATCGGGGTAAGAACAGAGTGATTTCACAGCCTTATTTTAAGAACCGATATTTTGGTGACTGTCTGTAATGGCTTGAGCACAAGACAGGAAGGAGGGTCACCAAATAAATGGAGGACACTGCTTTCACAGAATGAGAGTAAACGAGGGTCCCACTGTGCAGGGCATAAATTCAGCTCCTGTTGGTGTGTTTGTGCACGTGGAGAAACCACCCTTGGAGGTGCCTGGGTGAGGTGAGGTTAGCTGGAGAAATGCGCAGAGAAAAGGTGCTTTGGGGTAAAACCTCGGGAAATAGCAACATTTTGTGTATTGGGTTTGAAAGCGATAGGAGGGGAGGGGTCAGCAGATGGGTGGATTGAACTTGAAGGGGCTTTGGCCGCAGCTCCACTCCTCTTCCGCCTCGTCTGCGCCTCCTCCCCGCATCTGGGAGTCCTGTCTGGGGGGGCGCACAGCTGCCCACTGGCCTCGCGGGACGACTGGCTCATTACCCTGTGTGGCCCTTTGGTCCTCACACCACTGACCTCAGGAGGAGGTGTGACCCTGAGGAGCTTTCGGAGTGATACCCTGTCTGGCTGCTGGGGTCAGAAGGGCCAGCCTGGCTCTCAGGGAGCACAAGGTGGGGTGTGGGGGGCATGCAGAGGCGATCCTGTGGTCCAGGGGCCGGGTCAGGAGGGCCAGCAGGAAGCCGCTCTCCTTCCGTCATCCACGCTTCCATCCGCGGGGCTGTCCCTGAGAGCTGAGTCTGTTGGCCCCTGTTTGCCCCTTGACGTCACTGCCATTGCCACCCACTGTGGCTGCATCCTCACTGCCTGGGGCGTTGTTGTGCCTGTGGGCACCTCGCCCTCCACTCTCCATAGGCACCTGTCGCCCCAGATTTGTTCCTGGGTCCTGTTTCTGTCCCTGCCAGCAGGAGGCTGTTAGGCTTCCCTGGTGTGTGGATGATTCCTGAGGCGGCCGGGCTGACGGTGCAGTTAGACGCCGCTCCTCCCGGAGGCATTGCTGGGTCTTCCTGCCCGTGTGCATTGGAGCCCCCCCCCCCCCCGTCCTTCCCGCGCCCTCCAGGCAGCGGCTGCTGCTGCTTGTCCTGTCTTGTTTTGTTCCTGGTCTGTGTGCTCGTTCCTGCCTCCTTTTTATTTTATGAGCTTTTTAAAGGGCAGAACAGTATTTATATTTGTATGAGCTCTGACTTGGGGCCATGTGCTCATCTATAGAATCAAAGTGGATCATTGTCACTTAGTTTGAGGAGTCAGGCTGCTGCAGAGATCAGCCTGATGCTGCTCCATTATCACCGGGACGCGCGGTGGCTCTTCCAACGCCCGTGTCACTGAGGAGCCAGAACAGACCCAGCCTCACCTGTTGTTGCCTTCCCTCTCGGGGTCCTGGTCGGTGCAGAATAAGGGACTTTGGTGCGGGTAGGTCTTAGAGTAAATGTCTTACTAGTTTCTACATGTGAACGATCATCAACTTTGAAGAAAGCGTTTATTACTATAGGTAGAAATTATTTTCCTTTGGTACTTCTGTGAATTTTGATCCAGGCAGACCTCACTTTATTGCATGTCTCAGATACTGAGATACTGTTTTGTTTTGTTTTGTTTGTTTTTTTTACAAATTGAAGGTTTGTGGCAACCCCACATCAAGCAGATCTGTTAGCGCCGTTATTTCCAACAACTTTTGCTCATTTCATTTCTCTGTGTCACATTTTGGTAATTCTCGCAATGTTTCAAACTTCCGTCATTATTGTATTTGTTAGGATTATCTGTCGTCAGTGATCTTTTAAACTTTTAAAAAAATTTTGGGGTTGGGATAGGTAATTAGGTTCATTTATTTATTTTAGAGGAGGTGCTGGGGATTGATTGAACTCAGGACCTCCTGCATGCTAAGCACACGCTCCACCACTGAGCTGTACCCTCCCCACCCCCATCAGTGCTCTTCAGTGTGCCTACTGCAAAAAGATTACGGCTCGCTAAAGGCTCAGATGATGGCTAGCATTTTTTAGCAATCAGGTATTTATTAATTAAGTCATGGACGTTGTTTTAGATATAGTACCATTGTGCACTTAACAGACCGCAGTACCGTGCAGGCCAAACTTTCATGTAACTTTTTTTGGAAACAAACAGATCCGTGACTCGCTTCCTTGAAGCACTTGCTTCACTGAGGTGGTCTGGAACTGAACCCACAGTATCTCCCGGTATGTCTGTACTCACTTCTGATTTAGTTCTGGTGTTTTTCAAGCGAAATACTTCGTCAAACCTAAAAGAAAGAGGAACGTAACAGACCCTCCTACCCCGTCCTTGGGGCAGCTCTTCCCCCACAGCACGGGTCAGCCTGGCAGAGGTTGGTTCTAGGGACCTAGATGGCATCACTGCTCCGGTGCTGGCCAGTTCTCACACGACCTGTGGTGGCACATGTCACCTGAATGTGACGGGCCTGGAGGTCAGCTTCCTGCCTCCTCCTCCCGTTTAGCGGCCCAGGTTGGAGGGCGTGCACACCCTGCTCAGCTTGCTTGTGGTAGAAGACGACACTGTCTCCAAAGGTGACTGTGAGGAATCGGAGACTTGCTGTGGCACGGGCAGGTGACGGATGCACCGTGTCTTGCTGCAGGTCCAAACGCAGCCATCCATCTGCTTCAAACGGATGCAGTTTATGGTTCTTAGATGACACCTGTGAGGTTGACACAAAGCCCGCAGATCTTATCAGGCGTCAGGACAGCGCCTGGCGGGGCTGCAGCAGCCCCCCTGCTCCCCAAGGCGCCGTCCTCCTGGTCCCTGAGCCTTCAGACTCCCGTCTGCCCACTCCTCCACCCGAGCGCTCACCAGCTGCTGCAGCTCCGTGCACCCTTGGGTGGCTGGGAGAAAGGCTTCATCCTGTTTAGGCATTTATGGAAAAGGTCACGAGTCTAAAGTTCGGTTTTAGCTGAAAGCACCGTCGACACCACTTTTACTAGTGAGTATTTGTGTGCTGCTTTCCCTGGATGCCCGCAAGTTCCTTTTTAAAAGCTGAAGTACACGGTGACCCTTCTTTTTATTTTCAGCATCCCTACCCGACAGAAGATGAGAAAAAACAGATTGCTGCTCAGACAAATTTGACACTACTCCAAGTTAACAACTGGTAAGATGCACCCTCTTTCTGAAACCGTGCCGTCAACAGAACACCTGGAAATGCTGGCACTAATCAGTAGTGGAGTTTGCTTGAAAACATCCCAGCTAGCGTTCCTCTGTTGTCAGAGTGCCAGGATCGGTGGCCGGATACTTAAGCACAAACCAGCACACACTTTCACCTTCAGTTTTCAGCAGCCAGCACCCGCTGTGGACTTCTTGCCTTCACCCTTTGGCTCCATCAGAAATGTGTTTCTCCAGTGCGTGACCGGCCCTACTCCTGCAGTCACTCAAAGACACGATGTTTCCTCTGGGCAGTGGACGGCCGAGGTGCCGTCTGCTGACCTCTGGTGGCCCCTCTGCACCTGGCCCCCCTTTAGAACCCTCGTGTCACCTGTTCAGCAGTGGTTGGGGGAGAGAGTCCCTCAGCTGACCAGCCGTGTGGTGGTCCTGTCCCACGGCACGACTTGGGGCCCCGTTCTGGTTCTGGTGTCACATGTCACTGTGGACGCTTGGACCTGACCACGTGTCTTCCCTTAAGTAAGAGGTGTTCACATGGTGCTAAGGTCTGGGGTGCACCTACATTTCGCTTGTTAGTCATCTGTCTCATTTTTTATTTACTTATTCAGACGTAGGAGACGATTTCAGCATAAAATTGACATGCATGAAAGAGAAGAAACCACAAATTCTACCACTTATGCACTTTGTTATCTTGTCATTTTAACTGTTAAATTTAACCTTGCAGGTCAAGTAGGTTCCGATAGAAATTAAAAAAATCTTCCAATAGGCAGTTACATATGCGGAAGGCAGGCTTTGGTGTTGGGTGAAATATTTCTATTATCTTGCCTTTGGACCATTTTTTTATTTCGGTAGCAATAACAGACCATACTATTTGAATTATTTCCTGTTGGATCTTTTAAATAGAGCGTTAACAAGAATTCAGAGATGTCAAGCACTTTGTAACCATGAGTTTTGTAATGTCACAGCATGGTTCTGTTCTTTTCATGTAGTCTCAGGTAGAAACTGTTTTGATTCAGTCGTAATAGTGACTGATAGAGAAGCTGGGGTGAGAGACACAGGGTTCCCTCTTTGGAGACTCTGTTTTGTCCCTGTCCAGCCTTCTGACCTCCTTCATCTGTGGGCGTCCGTGCTGTCCCTGACTTGCTCGCCTGCTGTGTTAACAGAATCATATTATCTAGAAGGTTTGACTTCAACTTTTAATTTTAAAATTAATGACAGTTTAATACACAACTTTTATAAATTCTAAAATTTCTGAAGTCTTAGTAGCTGCATTTACCTTTTGTGAGTTGTTTACAAAAACTACATCTTGGACTCAGACTGGCCACACCCACCGTCCGCTTGCGCCGCTGCCTCCAGCCGCGCTCACAGAGGGTGAGGGGCAGGCGGAAAGCAGCGGCGGCTCCGCGGCACCCGGGTGCCGGGGCGGGGGCGCTGGCGTGGCTCCCCCAGCCTTGCGCAGGCTGCGCTGCGGCGAACGGAGACGGACTCTAAGTGAAGCTCTGCGGCACGAGCCTGTTCATTCGTACTATGAGAACATGTCCTAGTGCAGCCCGAGATGGTTTTGAATCCTAGGACTTCACAGTTAAGCAGCCTCGGAGCTGGACATGTGTCCACACTCAGTGCCCGGCTGGGTGCGACTCTCGGGTAGAGACGCAGCCCGCAGAGCCTCGGGCGTCATGAGGCTGCAGGCTCTGTGGTTTTGCAGTAGTTTACCTTTTCTCTTCCTTCGAGAAAATCATGCCAAATCCACAACTTTGACGGTATCGTCAGTGTCATTATGAGTATCAAGGCCACGGACGTGGGCTCCATCAGTTAAGGTGGAAAAGGGCACGGGGTAGAGCTGGGCTTTC